TCACCGCGTTTTTGGCGTTTCGTCCCACTGTGCGCCGCGCCGCGCACCCCGAGAAAGCCATTAAAGAGTGAAAGTTTGCCTCCAATTACGGGGAGTCTCGGCGAGTAATTGTCGGGCCGGCAGCGAGCGAGACAGCGAGAGGGTTAGCGGGTCAGCCGAGTCCCCCGACTGATAGATTTCCCGCCCGAAATTAGCATGTGTGAAGGGCGGCGTTAATTGACTGGAAGAGCGCACAAACACAAAGCAGCCCAGGCAGGCAGGCAGCCAGGCAGGCAGCCAGGCAGGCAGCCAGGCAGGCAGCCATCCCACCGAGCGAGTTTAGTTTGTTCAAAGGCTGGGCCTGGCGGCTGCTGAAGTTTCGGGGCTTGTCTTGGAAATATCCTTGATTTCGTGTCGCGTCTGTGTGCGTGTGTGTCCCGCTCGAGTCTCGGCGCGGCCACGCCCGGGCGGGCTGGGGGAGACACTTGGTTGTTCCTTTGCGGGAGATGCGTATCGGAAAATAAAAAGATTCCGCCCGACGAGCGGGTGGGCGGGCAGGCGAGGCGGGGTGGCGACCAATTTTGTGTCTGCAAACCATTCCCGCTGGCGTCTCAATTTGTGTGTTGCCCGTGACGGGGCGGGCCGGCGGCGACCCGCTCTGCCGGGACGGGCGGGTCGCCAGCCAGGCAGCCAGCCAGCCGGGCAGCCAGGCCGAGGAGCCACCCCTTTCAGCAGAGAGGGAACAGAGGCGACCGGCAGGGCGCAGGCCGCGCAGGAAGGAGGGCGGTTGGTTGTAATGAGGACTGGGGGCCGATCGCAAGCAAACCGAAGGCAACCTGGTGCCGAGCAGTGCCGAGCAGTGCCGAGCCGCTTGGAGTGGGACTCGAATCGAACACATAATGGTACCTCGCTACGGGCGAGGGGCGATGTTGTGAAAGACTCGGGAACGGCTCCAGAGTGTTCTCGTCTTTCGCCTTGTACGGCACCAGCACGTGCTGCTGGCCGGGCAGGAAGCGGCGGAGCGGCGAGTGGCCTGGGGAAGGCAGATTAGCGCTCCCGCCGCTGCTTTTCCAGGAAACAGAGTAACGTCACGAGAATGCCGCGCGCGCCGCGCCGCCCGAGCGGATGACGGCGCAAACTGAACAATTGCGACTGTAGTCGCAGCGCACCGCGTTCCCGGCCCTGGTCGCCCCTGGTCTCCCCTTTTCAGCCCTTTGAGCCCTTTCAGCCCTTTCAGGCTGCCGGGGGCTTCGGGCCGCCATCGCCATCAGCGCGATGAGGGACCGGCCGGGCCGGGCCGGGCCAGCCCGGGTCGGTGGCTCGCGCCTGATTGGCTATCCATCCAGCCGGGCGCCGCCGCTGGCGGAGCTCCGTCTCGGTCTTTGAATGATGTGGCGATGGGGGCTGTGCGGGTGTAGCTCGGCAGGGTCCCTGCTGTCCACAGGACCCCACCTCGAGGTGAAAGCGGCCGCTGCCCGCCACACCCAGCACGGCCAGGCGGGCCAGGCAGGCCAGGCAGGCCTCGTGCCACCCGCTGGCGCCCCGCAACGCACCCTTTAATTACAACACAACAGCCGCTATAAGTCACTTGCTAGTCAGGGCCGCGCGGCGGGCCGCCCCCTTCCCCCCACCCCACTCGAGAGCTCTCGGACAGCGTGGCGGACACTGTAGTTTAGCATCGCCCATCGCCCGGGCGGCGCGTTGTTGCCACCATCCCCCGCCATCCCCAACTGCATGCTTCCAAAAGAGAGGTGCTTGTGTGCGTGTGTGTGCGTGTGCGTGTGTGTGTGTGTGTGTGTGTGTGTGTGTGTGCGTGCGTGTGCGTGCGCGTGTCCGTGTGTGGACGCGTTCGCCTCGATGGTGCGGGGTTCTGTATTGACGCCGTCCATGGTTCCATTTGCCATCGCTGTCCGACTGTCCGCGGTCCGCCTGTCCGTCGCGACGACAGGCCTCGTCGACTTGTATGCATATTAGCAGCGGGCCGCACCCCCGGGCGCCACGCCCTCCCGTCGACGGCGTCCACGCACCGCCACACCGCCGCCGTGGAGGCCGAGGAGGCCGCCGCCGTGCCACGCCGCGCCGCGCACCGAAGCGCCGCTTTATTTTAAACGAGGCTTGTCGTATCGCGTCACGCCCACGCAATTATCGCGGCCGCCATAAATCGCGCGTCCGTCGGCCGGACAGCGCGCGGCCCTGCACACTGCGAGTCGCCACGGCCACGGCCAGGCCACGGCCAGGCACCGCCTCGTTCTTTACACTTCCCGCGACGGCGACCTTTCACCCGTGTCCGCACTACCGCCGTGCCGTGCCCTGCCGTGCCCTGCCGCACCGTGCCGTGCCGTGCCGTGCCGTGCCTTGCCGTGCCGTGCCGTGCGGCTCCCTTGGTTGCCCGGGGAGTTGGGGCTCCGGGCGGCCGTCCCCGCCGTCCGCGACCGAGCATGCCTCGGGGCACTAGATAAGGTGTACAACTAAATTCCAGGTGGTGGCGAGGCCGGGCCGCGGCCGTGGCGTCGTGGCGACGACGAGGGTCGTCCTGCTATTCACACCGCCGCCCTGCGATCCATTCCCGCCCTCGGCCCCCTCCCGGGCCGAACCCCCCTGCTGGGGCCCTCGACGCCCGAGCTGCCCGTGTTCGTAATTTAGGGCTGGTGATGCAATATTTCCGGTATCTCGTCCTCGTTAGAACTGGCGTGGCCGCGTTGCCCCGGACCACGCCCTGCGACGCCTCGACGCCCGGCGGGTCGTTAGTGGCAAGGCGGGCCAGGAGTCCTCGATGGCGCACAGTGGATCAGAAGACCGGTGGAGGCGGACAAAACTCTCGACGAGTTTTGAGCTCCAGAGTCGCTAAATTGGACTCGAACCGAGCGTATGACCCCACCAATGGATTCCTCGTTCGGAGAGCAATCGATTGGTGGGGTCACACGCTCGGTTCGAGTCCCATTTGGCGACTCTGGAGCTCAAAACGCGTCTAGAGTTTTGCTCGCCTCCGCCGGTCTTCTGGCCCACTGTGTGGCGGTGGGGAGTGACGCGGTGCCGCTGGTCTGCGGCTTTGCTGGCTCCGCTGGCGCCGCTCTGCTCGGGGCGTTAACAGGTGAAATGAACATCTCGGGTGGCGCCGCGCTGCTGGCGCTGCTGGCACACTGCTGGCGCGCTGCTCGCCTCCCAATGGCGGCCATTATCCGCACCTCAAAACGGTTACGCCGATCGCCGCCTCGGGTAATGAAATGCCGGCCGAGCTGCTCTGCACCGCCCTCTTGGAACCGATCCGGCGCGGTGCCGTTCGGCCTCTCCGCCGTTCCGGGCGCGGTGTGCGTTCGCGTTTACAAATCGTTCCGGGGCGTGCTCGGGATTCAATTACCATTTCATTTGGAGCGCGGCGCGCGAGGACGGCGGCGGGGCGCGGCGGCCGCGGCTACCTGGCCTGCCTGGCGGGGCCAGCGCGCCGTGCAGGTAGGCAGCGCGCCGACGCGGATGCCTCCGGTCTGCCTACCTGCTTCCGCAAGGGGCCCGCGCCCCGTGCCACAGCGGCGACGCACTGAAACACCAAACGTGGTCTAGACTAGGCCACACCACTGGTGTGGTCAAATAGTTGCCATTTTGACCGCACACGGTGAAAACGGTTCCTGGTTTTCCCAGGAACCTCCTGGAAATTGCCTATGTCTTCGCCATAGGGCTCCTGGGAATACCAGGTACCGTTTTTACCGTGCATCAGTTGGTGTGGTCTAGACCACGTTTGGCCTCGTTTGGTGTGGTCTAGACCACGTTTGGTGTGGTATTTCGCACCAAACGTGGTCTAGACCACACTAACTGATGCGGTCAAGACCACGTTTGGATTTTAAGTGCGCCAGCGCGTATCAGGGTTCGAGGTTCAAGGTTCCTCTGCATTCCATACTCATATTAGCACCAGTGTATTCGCCCGCGAACGGCGAATCGTTTGCATTGCACTGTGTTGTGCTCTAGTGGTATTTGAGCATGTGGGGCCGAAGCGTGTCCATGCAACTACAGTTGGGTGCGCTTGGACTGGCCCTTTGGTGCAGGGCGGCGGCGTGGCGATCTGTGCGTGCTTTGAACGGCCCTCGACCTACATACGCGTGATGACGAGGGCGTGATTACGTGCGGCCTGCGTGGTGCGCCCCGCCCCGCCCCGCTCCGCCTCACCCCGCCTCACCCCGCCTCACCCCGCCTCACCCCGCCCCGCCCCGCCCCGCCCCGCCCCGCCACGCCCTTCCACGCGAGGCTGCCCTGGCCTGCCCTAATCTGGGCCCCTACTGTTGTTCTTTCAGTTGGGCAACTCGGGGATTGCTACTCGCAACTACGCGCGACTATGATGTAGTTGGCTTTTCGCGAAGTTGGCGCCCGCGCCGCCATGCTTTAATTTTGTTATTTCGCGGCAGTTGTTTATAGTGGCGGGGATGAGGGGCGATTTAATTAAGTAAGATGCTTTTGCCGCGTCGTCTTCGGCAAATCCCTTGAAGTGAAGGGCCGCCTTTTTTCCGGGACCCGTTGTTCCGCGGCCGCACCCCGCCAGGCGCCACACAGTGGGCCAGAAGACCGGTGGAGGCGGACAAAGCTCGAGACGCGTTTTGAGCTGCAGAGCCGCTAATGGGACTCGAACCGAACGTGTGACCCCACCAATGGATTCCTCGTTCGGGGAGCAATCCATTGGTGAGGTCACACGGAAGGTTCGAGTCCCAATTCGCGACTCTGCAGCTCAAAACGCGTCCGGGGCTCTGACCGCCTCCACCGGTCTCCTGGCCGTGCGCCGCGGCGCGACGGCGTAACCCTTTGAGCTGTGGCAAATCAACACCGACACGACGCGCATGCATGCATGCGGCCTGTTCATTCTTTCCGTGGCTGGGCGGCGCGGCTGGCGGCGCGGCGGCCGCGGCTGTGCGTCGAGGGGAGTGGCGTCGCTGGCGTCGCCGCGGCCGGCCGCCAGAGGGCTCCGCCGTCACCCTTCCTCCCCCACAGGCGAGCCGCGCAGCCGAGCCCGCCGCGCCGCGCCGCCAGTGTGGGTGCAGCCTCCGTCGCATCGGGCCGAGCCGAGCCAGCCGCGCGGCCAGCACGCGTTTCTCCGCCTTTCGCGTCTCGTCGCGTGTGCGTGCGTGTTTGTCTGTCTGTGTGTGTGTGTCGTGCGTCAAGTGATTGTCGGTGTCCTCTCGCGGTGCGGCGTGCTCGTCTCGAAGGAGACCGCGCCCGTGCGCGTCACGCGGGCCCGGGTTCGACTCCCGCCGTCTGCTCGCGGTGGGGATGAGTGCGTAGCAGTGCGTAGCCCTCCTGCGACTGAGTGCAACCGAGTGCTTGCCGCGCTGGTTCCGGGACATGGTGTCGGCAGCGAGTTGCCTGTGAGACTCGTCGCCTTCCACGGCCCGTTCGATGAACGTGGCATCAATGACACTGGACTAACACGATCCACCAATGGATTTCTCGGATGAAGAGTTCTACGATGACATTCTGGATAAACTCTCGGACCGTTCTGACCTTGGTATGTATGCCCACACGTCTCTGGAGCCTTGTCTGTTCCTACGCGGCAAGGAGTGCCGACCGCGATGGGTTTTTAGGGCCTTCAAAGTTAGTTACACGAAAGTTGGGAACAGTTAAGGGCGTACGGGTGGCAAAATTTTTTTTTTCGGCATTTGATAGTGTTGGGTGTGTTTTCTAATCCTGCCGAGCGGTTTTCCTCTGTGACGCTTAGTTTGGGCGTAACGATGCCTACAAGTTCGAAAATTGTGCGTTTTTCGCCATTTTCGGACCCAGGTTCCGGGAGAACCAATGGGAGGAGCATAGTGAAATTGCGCATGCTTGTAGAAGACAACCACAGGTATGATGTAAAGAAATTTCGCGGTGATCGGGTTCAAGGGAAGACTCCTGGAACGCCTTGAAAATGGACAGTTTTGTGAAGTGCGCAGCGACTAAACTACAAGAGTGAGGAGGTTGAAAAACCTTTACCTCACAGCCACGACTTTCCTCTATTGATTGCAAAAAGTTCCAAGTCGCTGGAACAAACGGTTCATCCAGAACCTGGGTCCGAAAATCAAGTAATTTGCTGTCGTTTCAACAGAGAGAGAGACAAGCGATGTCTTGTCTTTCTCGCATCGACTTGTTTCCGAAGCAGCCCCCGCTGCAGGTAGCCACCCGGGGGAAACAATGCGAGCCCCAGACCCTCGCCGCCGCGTGCCGTCTGGGACCGGACTGCAGCCAGTGCGGAGCCATCTCCAACTTTTGCAAAACGGGAGGTCAAAGCTTCGGTAAAAATTGTCGCAGGACTATTTTTCAAAGTACCATTGGAACCGCGATTTTGCGAGAAAACCATTTCTGTCCGATTGGACGCTGAAAAACGGGCCGTTCAAAAAATTTCAGTCGGGGGTTGGGGGTCAATAAATCCTCCTGTCACCATCCTCGCTTCGGTGCGACGAGCCGCCGGCAGTGAAAGGCCCTCGACACAATAGACGGGGGGCGACTACCTGGCCTAGTCCAGAGAGTCAAATTTCTAACGCGTCGCTTGACATGTTTGCAACGATGCCCAAATGCACGCGGGACAAAATTCTGGATCTATTCATGCAAAATTTGAATTCGAGCGATCATTTTGACGAAGCAGGACAAACTGCATTTCACACCTACACTGAAATGTGAACCGTTTCGTGACAAGCATTTTGGTAGCGTTGTCAAAAATTGTCATTTACTATGAACACGGACTTAGAAAAATTACAGCCGATTGGCCGGACAAGCAAAACTGCTCGGCTGCTCATCGGAGCCCAGCTCCGGAGGCGAGTTGCCGTTGCCCCCCCCGGTCGGGGGGGAATAAAAGCTATTGTGCTGTAGTGTCTGCGTGGGCCCCGCCTGACCCGGCTGCAGTCTGGCGACGCCTGACGGGGCCAACGCTTATTCGGAAAAGCCTTCTCGAAATGGACCGCCACCCCTTTCGTCCTTTAAATGTGGCGAGTAGCGCGCGCGCCACATCTCCCCCCCCCCCCCCCCCCCCCCTCTCTCTCCTCTCTCTCTCTCTCTCTCTCTCTTCTCTCTCTCTCTCTCTCTCTCTCTCTCTCTCTCTCTCTTTTAAAGCGTGAGCGACTTTTCCCGTCGAGGTCATCCATTGGCCAATGCTGTCGGAGCAGTCCGACCAGCAGCCCTCGAGGTCACTGACTCTGGACCGCAAATAACCACCGCAGTGCTCGGCCCCGGCCCGGCCCCAGCCCCTCCCCTCCCTCCTCCTTGATACATGTTCGACAGTGTTTTTACCCTCGGTATGTGGTGCCGATACACCAGCCGAAATGCCCGGCCGGTCGCCGCGCGGCCAGTACAATGCTCTTCCCCCCATCCCCCCTCCCCTCCCTCCTTCCCTCCCGTCCTCCCTTGTCTTCAACCCTTTCGGGCCGCGTAGCAGCAGCAGCGCCCCACCATTAGTCAGTATAGGTAATTAGTGTTTGGAGTCAGTGTGCCAGCCTTTGGGCCGACCGACCCGGACCGGAGGAAGGCAGCTAGACAATTTCAATGGAATGAATTCAGCGCGCCGGTCCGCACCCTTGTTTTCAGCCGCACACTGCAAAAAAGAGGTTTCTTTTTTCTTTCGTCTGCTTTTTCTTTTGTTGCTTGTCTCTGCTGTATCCGTCTGAAGAGCGCTTGCTGGCGTGCCGATGGCTTCCGAATGTGATGGTGCAGGGATTGATTCTCCTTTGAGGGGGAGTCGGGTGGGCGCGGCGCGAGGGCGCTTCTGTTGTGCCGTTGCGCCTCTCCGAGGGGAGCCCCTGCCCCGCGCTGACAGTGTAGTGCCAGCAGCGCCGCGGCCCAGCGTCCGACAACCAACGGCATTTCGAAACATTTCGCTGGCAGCACGCCTGGGGGGCTGATAATACTTTTTTGCGCCAACGGCAAGGTAGAAGTCCAGCAGGATTTCGACTTTTGTTCGTCTCGCTCGCGCCGCCCCACCCACCAAGTGTCGTTTAGGCCCTCGACGGGGTCCGTCATGTCAACCCTTTCAGGCGCGCGGCCCGGGGAGGCCCGGGTGGCCCGCGCGGCTGCAGGACAATGGTCTCGGCAACACTGGCGCGCGCGGTTACATGTGCTGTGCTGATTGTGTGTTCGGAACACACAATAAAATCCGGGGAGGGGATGCCGCGGCGAAATAAAAGCACAGGCGCGGAGGGAGGCGGGGAGGGGGTCGCCGACTGAGGCCCAAAAAAAAACAAGAGAAAAAAAATAGAACGGGGGCGTATTTCATGTTTGGCGGCGCGTGTTTGCCTATTCTGTCCCGATGAGGACGACGGCCACGACGGCGCGGGGGAGGAGCAGGAGGACGAGCGGGAGGACCCGCTGACAGGCAAAGTCGCAGATTGGATGTGTTGGGAGAATCCCCTGAAGGGCACGCGTGGCGGCTGCTTGGAGAACTATAACAGAGTTGACGGGGACGCCGCGGAAAAGGTAATCTGTACACGCACGGCTCCCCTCGGCTGCGCACCTCCGCCACCCCACCCCGCCCCACCCCCCCCCGCCCCACCCCGCCCCAGCCCCGCCCCCCCCCCCCCGCCCCGCCCCGTGTTCCGATTCGGCGAGGGGTCCCTCCCGCGTTCCGGCAGAATCACCCCGCCGCTGCAGCAGGTCAGCTGGTCCTCGGAAAGTTTCCTGCAGAAATAACTTCTCGTGGGGAGGGAGCGCCACCGGCGCGTGTCTCCCCGACAGGGGTTGTGCCTCACTTGGCTCTTTGTGTGTGTGTGTGTGTGTGTGTGTGTGTGTGTGTGTGTGTGTGTGTGTGTGTGTGTGTGTGTGTGTGCGGGTGTGTGGGTGCGCGCGCGCGTTCGGCGTCCCTCAATCATTTTGCACTTTTCTGCCAAGATAGCGGGGGTTGATGATGGCGCTGACGGCGTCCTCCTCTTGGCCAAAAGTTCCCCGTGCTGGATTGGACTCCGCCAGCGAGTCTGTCCGGACGCGTTGGTGTCCGTGTCCGGGCCGGGCCGGTCTATCGAGGACCATCACTCGTATCAATGGCGGGGTGGCGAGGGGCCGCCTCCCCCCCGCATAATCCCACCCCGGCTTCGCATTAGTCAAGGTCGGGCCGGCCGCGTGAACACGCCGCGTCGACACGCACGCACGCACGCACCGCCCACGTGGCCTCGCCGCCACGCCGCCACGCCGCCGGCGGTCGTTTTAATATGTTTTTCATGGGCTGGCACCCGTCTGGCGCTGCTGTGGGAACCGGGGAACCTGCAGAGCCTGCGGCCTGCAGCCTGCAGCAGGCCTGCCGCCGCGCCTCGTCGGCGTGCCTCGTCGGCCTGCCGCTGGAAGCTCTGGAAGCCATCAGCGCGTTCCAGAGCGACGGCGGGGAAGCGCAGCAGCAGCCTCATTAGGCCTCGGCGACGTATCCAAATAGCGCGGCCGTCTGGGAGGAAAAACGGGTCATCCGTCTGGCAGTGCCAGGCAGCGAGCACTGCACGTGTGGGCTGGCGGGGCTGGCGGCTCCTCCTTCCCCGAGGGCCTCCCCCAGCGCTGCAGCGCCGTGTTCAGCCGATTCATCGTAAACGCCCCCCTAGACGGCCGGAGTTATGCCCCTGGGGGGCCGGCGGGGCGGCGGCGGGGCGGGGCGGCGCTGTGCCACCCCCGAGTCCGCGCCGCCCCCGCACTTACAGCTGTGTGCGGTATTCCCGGCTTCGGATGCATCATTAACTCCCTATTACTGCCGCTCCCGGGGGCCCGTCGCCCGCCTGGCCCGGGTGTGTGGCGCTGTGCTTCTTCTCTCGGTGACTTCGAGGGGAGCCCCGGCTTCGCCCTCGGCGCCCGGCCAATGTTTAAAGTCGTTTTGTCGAGGCCGCCGCTGTGACGCCGCCGGCGCCATCAGTCTTGCTGAAGAGCGTCGAATCCCCGAGTAATTTCTTTTGTCGCGATTCATCCCCACACGGTAAAAACGGAACCTGGTTTTCCCAGGAACTCCCTGGAAATCGCCTATGTCTCTACCATAGGCTTCCTGGGAAAACCTGGTTCCGTTTTTACCGTGCACCTGTCTTGAAAGGAAAGCGCAGCCAGTCGAGTGTTTGTTTTCATTTTCCAGCCGCCGGACGGAACGACGTCGCAATGACGTCCGAGTGGCTGCCGCCTCGGCTGCCGCGACACCCTAATCCGCACTGCAGGGCCTCTTGTTGTTGTTGTTTGCTCGACATTAATTTTTATTGACCGTCGTAATTGAGCACTGAGCTCGCTGCAGCCAACAACAACAATAACAACTTGCAGCAGGCAGCCCGGGGGCTTTTACGCTTTTCCGGGTTGTTGATTAGAGCGCACGCTGCGCGCGGAGCTGCGGCGCGGCGGCTGATTTTTCACCCTCCTCGACTGAAACCAGACCACCACCGCCGCCATGGCGGGCCACCCCTCTGAGGCTTGCCACTTGGTTTTTCTGCCCCGACGAGCCAACTCGGCAACTCGGCCAAGAGGGCCGCGCGGCTTGTTCGTGCGCCGCCCCGCCCCGCCCCGCCCCCCCCACCCCGCCCCGCCCCGCCCC